CATCATAATACCAATAAATAAATACCCAAAACACATTCGGTAAAGATGTAATATACTTTACCTATAGAAAGTAAGGTTGAAATGAAAGACTATTAAATTTATTTAATTCGTTTTTTACCAAATAAACTACGCCTGGGCCGGCTGGCTTTAAAACATAATTTGCATTTAGCAGAGTTTTTATCCGTTTTCTCAAAGTATTTCCACACGGTATTAATACCACTTTTACCAGCGCTGCTCATTTTTTATCAAGATAATGAAATGAAAAAATCTTATCACAACACAAAATAGCACAATTGGGCGCGAAGAAAAAAGGAACGAAGGAAGAAATTTATTGAATGAACCATAGAGAAGACTATGAATTCACGAACTAAAAATCATTCATTCATTCCTTTCAGCTGCGCTGCGTTCAAGATTTTTAAGTCAAATTTAGGGATGCGATTTGCTAAAAATCGCTGGGTGCATTCCAGCAGACCAATTTCTAAGTCACCGATCTCCACCGTATACATTTTAACCATGGAAAGTAATTTGTTTTAAGTAGTGACAAAAAGTACTCGATATTTTAAAAACAGACTAGTCGATACCGCGATCCTGTCGATACCTTGATGTTCAAGTATCGATACTAAAATATCGAGTATCGAGTGTAAAGTATCGATACTTCATAAGTATCGAAAGTATCGTTCGATCCCTAACTGTTATTCTAGCACTGTCATCGGAACGGTAACTTTTTTTCTATGAGACCACCAGTATTATGTATTATCTATGTATGAGACTTTACCGGGCGTGCATAAGACACATACACTCCGTCACTTTCGCGTTGTAGCCATCCATAAGGAGATCTATATTGATATCACCTGCAAGAAAAACTGTGCTTGCGTTATTATTATTTACAAGAATTTTATTTAGTGAGGAAAGAAATAAGCTAGTGTCGGTGAAGGAAGGAGAGCGATAAATACCAATAATAAATATGTCTCCGATAGATATTGCTAAGAAGTTACTCTCGACACGTAAGGGCTCATTTATAGTCGGGGTTCAACTATCTTTTATGTAAGCTATTACACCATTTATTTATGGAGTTCTCTGTACGATAAACATTAAAACCAGGCAACTGTGGAATGACGACATCCCTATTGAGCCAGCATTCTTAGTTAAAATAACCACATCAATATTCATGTTGAGTCGATAAAAGGTTATTAGAAAGTCATCAAAGTTGTGTTGGATACTCTTGACGTTGAATATGATTACGTTGAAATTTAAGTCTGGAGTTAAAACAGAGGAACACAGTTCAGGCCTCTCGAGCGCAAAACATTTAATAGATAATATTTCGTCTATGTCTGAGTCAAGCATGGTATAGAGAATCAAATCAAATCAAAATTATTTATTCAGTTTAGGTTGTTACAAGCACTGTTACCGAGAAGAACCGGCAAGAAATTCGGCAAGGGCTGCTTTTTTCTTCCTGTTTTATTTCATACAGAGCGTAAAGACAAAAAAACGACTTCATTAAAATTTGAAGACGCTTTCCATTACAATATTACACAATATAAGAGTAAAACAGTATTTTCGTCAATCCAATCACATGTGTCACCGATAAACAATTTAATATATATGAAAAATGAGCCATATTTAACACTAAGCATTTTTGTCGTTTAAATATTCATTAACATACTGTTACTGGTATACAATATCCTTTACTGAGTAGACAATTCTTAATATGGATTTTAAACTTAGGTAATGGTAAATTTAAAATTTCCATAGGAATTTTGTTATAGTAGTGTACACCTTGACCCATAAGAAGAAATTTATATATAACAGTGGTAGGAGTCTGTCTGTATTTGAGAGCTCTGTAGTTATAAGGAGACGCTGCTTTGAAGTGTGTGAGCGAGTGTTTAGTGCTAATATGTGCAGTGTAATATGAGTGTGTTCTGAGTTTTTGTATTGGAATGTGTAGTCATTTGTAAACTTTAGATCAATATTTAACAAAGATTTCGAATATATAGCTAGCCTTTCATACAGGCAAGAAAAGTTACATAAAATGTTATATCGAGGCGAGTCACGGTTGTCTGCCGCTGGACCGAAGTTACGATCCAAGTCTTCTGAGCATTGCATGCGAATTGCAGGTTTGTTATCAGCTTTACGGGTGTAAATAACGCCATTTCGGGTCCAGCAGTATTTAAAATTGTTTGTTTTTGAGTGCTGTCGGGCTTCTCGAAATAACAATCTATTCTTACGTGTGAGACGTTCATTAATGAAAACTTGGTTACCAGTATAGTCCGCGCTTCTCAATGCAGGTTTCCTTAGCCCTTTGTTGGCTTTGATGATTTCATCCCGTTTCATGCGTCTCACTTGTTTCGCCAATATAGGACTTTGTCGCGCTTGAGTTCCAGATGAAGGCTTCTGCCCTACAACAACACTGTTTATGCAGCATACATCGGTTTCCCTTAAATCGACACCCAGTGTCTTGGAAGTAACAATAATAGTGTGGATGAGGTTTTCACCGGCTTCTCCGGGTATACCGCTTATCTCAAGTTCGTTGTTGATGGCGATTTGTTCCTGTAATTCGAGGACTCTCTGTGATTGTAGATGTTCCAAAAATACACTGCGTAGCTTCCCGAACGCTGCCCAGCCGAGTTGGATCCGTCGATTAACCTCTCTCTGGAAGGTTTTCACCGGCTTCTCCGGGTATACCGCTTATCTCAAGTTCGTTGTTGATGGCGATTTGTTCCTGTAATTCGAGGACTCTCTGTGATTGTAGATGTTCCAAAAATACACTGCGTAGCTTCCCGAACGCTGCCCAGCCGAGTTGGATCCGTCGATTAACCTCTCTCTGGAAGTTGGACTTACCTAGTCGGATTATTTGTCCCAGGTAAAATTAAAATACTTCCTCATTGAAATTTAACTCGATATTAATCCGAGTAATACTGATAGGTTTTGATGGTCTGTGGTCTCAACAGGCAATGGCTGTATGGGCTAAGCTCCCTTCGCCTTTCTTTAACGGAAAATAACTACCAAAAAATTACGTGGTCTGGAATATCCGATCGGTAGCATAAATGTGCGAGAAATCGAGCTTGTGTATCGATTCAAATTGGAGCCTCTAAGACTGACCAGGGAAAATATGAAATAAGATCGATCTATTAAAAATAGATCAATTCTCTCAAGGTCAAACAAGAAGAACGTCTTTTTTAAAACGTTTTTTACAAAATTATTGGGAAATTATCGATTTCTATACTGTAAACTGAAATTGTTAATAATAAATTCCCATTATGATTTTGTAAAAAAGATGGCAGGTACTTTGTCGATCGGTTTCAAGCAAATGCTTATTTTTCAAAAATGGTTGTATACTAATGAGGGCTAACGCGTGTGAAATCGCCACTAGAGGCTCTAGTACAGCGAGAGTCCTCAAAATATCAAATATTATACATTGTCAGTGAAGTATGCGCATTTCTTTTCAAATAAACTAATCTAGTTCTTATTTGATGGGTACCGGCTGTTAATTAAATAAATTATGAATTAAGGGTCAAGCCTTTATGTTAGCGCTTTATAAGCGGAGTTAAGAAAAAAGAGTGAAAAAATAAGCGGGAAGAAAGAAGAGCTAAATGAGAGCTTAGTGTTTATTAGTCATGTTCGATATTTTTGATAAAATGATTTATTTATGATTATTTGAGTTCAATCTCGTAGAAACTTTGAGTAAACTTTGTAGAGTTTTAAAGTGAACTTTGTAGGACCTCTTGTTACTGACGAGCCATCTGGTGTAGGGATGATCAATATTCATCAATGTTGAATAAACATCGATATTTAACTAGAAAACATCGATGTTTTGTCATCGATGTTTTAAATTGGATAAGATCGGCACATCGATGTTTTCGTGCGATCGATGTTTATGAATAAAAAGGGGTAGAATCAACCTATCCCACATTAAAAAAGATCGCATTAAAATATATATGTTGCACAGCGACTTCCATGGCTTCAGAGAGGCTTTTTTCTAAAGCTGTTCATTTCCTTTAACAGCAACGCGAATAAAGGGGAAATTGTTAACCAAGCTACTTTTTTTGCAAAGTGTATAGAAAAAATATTGGGATTAACAGTTTCATTTATTTTACTTTTTAAATTTGTAACAATAAATACTTGTTTGTAAAAAATACATCCAGTTTTATTTTTTTACACGGATGTTTGGGGTCTTTTCATCATCGATGGTTTTCAATTGATAGTAATCTTAGAACGATGCCTTTGAATCGATGTTGACTTCGATGTTAATATCGATGTTCTTCCAATATCGATCATCCCTAATCTGGTGAGCGAAAATCCGGCCGTCCTCATTGTATGAGTTGGTATCGATTTTTTGATGAATCGGAATATCCGTACCACAGATCAATTTTTAAAGATAACCAAAGATATTAGTTTATACAGCCTACTTTTGCCGTTTATTATAAAATAATTAGGAAAATATGTCATAAACTCTTTAAAGATAATAGTAAAGAAATATTGATTTTGGTCTGTTTGTTTTGTGACGATATGGAGATTGATATCTGTGAAAAAAAATGATATTCGCGATCATAAATAAAATCGATTGTCGTTATTATTAATCGAGTTGTGATTGAGTTTGGAATCTCCTTCTGCCATCGCAGAGCTTTTTTTGGTTGCTCAAATCTGTCCTTTCAATTTTCAATGGCGCGTTTTATTGATTACATCCCTAATCTGGTGAGCGAAAATCCGGCCGCCCTCATTGTATGATTTGGTATCGATTTTTGATGAATCGGAATATCCCTACCATAGATTAATTTTAAAAGATAACCAAAGATATTATTAGTTTATACAGCCTGATTTTGCTGTTTATTATAAGATAATTAGGAAAATACGACATAAACTCTTTAAAGATAATAGTAAAGAAATATTGATTTTGGTCTGTTTGTTTTGTGACGATGTGGAGATTGATATCTGAGGAAAAAAAATGATATTCGCGATCATAAATATAATCGATTGTCGTAATTATTAATCGAGTTGTGATTGAGTTTGGAATTTCTTGCCATCGCAGCGCTATTTTTGGTTGCTCAAATCTGTCCTTTCAATTTTCAATGGCGCGTTTTATTGATATAGGCATGGCATTATTATTTTCACGGTGATATAATCAAAACTATTAAATCAAATCATCATTAAGTTTGTTGTAGTAATTATCACCATTAATTTACTACGTGACACATTGTGTTTACTTAATTTTAGGTTATGTTAGTACCGAGTCCATATTTTATGGTTAGAGATTAATTAAAATGACTGAAGGCGATTTGAGTAATAACTGTAGGGTGGTGAGTTTACCAGTGCAATCCAACAAAAGGAAAGTAGAATGCGTGGGCGCTGCGTTCCTAAGATATCACAATATTAAATGTCACGGTGAAGATGCTTTATTTCAAACAACTGATTCTAAAGAAAAGGCTGAAGAGGTGACTTTTGATGATGATGTAGAATACTTGAGAAGCTTAGACCCAAAAGACTGGAAGTCTCAAGATCATTATGCAGTGTTGGGTATGAAAAACTTGCGGAATAAAGCTACCGACGACGACATTAAGAGAGCTTATAGACAAAAGGTATTAAAACATCATCCCGATAAAAGGAAAGCCCAAGGTGAAGAAATTCGCAGCGACGACGATTATTTCACTTGCATCACTAAAGCTTATGAAATTCTTGGAACACCTATTAAGCGTAGATCATATGACTCTGTTGATCCTTTAGTAGACGATTCTGTGCCATCCTCGACAGAAATTAAAAAAGAAGGGTTCTACAAAGCATTTCGTAAATATTTTGAAATCAATGCTCGGTGGTCAGAGAAAAAGAATGTCCCAATGTTGGGTGATGAGAATAGTCCCCGGGAGCAGGTGGAAAGGTTTTACGCTTTTTGGTATGAGTTTGAATCATGGCGTGAGTTTTCATATCTCGATGAAGAAGAGAAAGAGAGGGGTGCTGATCGTGAAGAAAGGAGGTGGATAGAGAAACAGAATAGAGTGGCAAGAGCAAAGCTTAAAAAGGAAGAGATGGCTAGGATTAGAAGTTTAGTTGACTTGGCATATTCAAATGACCCTAGGATTTTGCGTTTTAAGCAAGAAGACAAAGATAAAAAATTAGCTGCAAAGAGAGCCAGACAGGTACTTTATGCATTCAATTATTATCAGATTTATTACTTTAATATTATTTAAGAGACAGAGATGCGTCAAATAGTGGTTTCACCGAATACCAAATAGGTTACCTTTACATAACCGGATATTCATCCAAATTATTTGGTTATCATTTCATTTTTTTTTGCCAGAGTGTTTCTGAGTTCTCCTTGTAATATAAAGATCAATTATTTTGGAAGCAGGAAACCTATATGAAGAAAAACCCAACAGACTTGCTGAAGAGAGCCGAGATATTGGTGTTTTGCACCATAATTTATCATAAATATCAAAATATGTATATTTATTTTTTATTTCTGATTTCTATTATATTTTCATAGTGACTATAGTTTAAAAAATAACTGTTTGTGATATTTCATCAATTTTACTTTCACAATGCTATACTGATAAAAATATTCTTAATAAAAAATAAAATAAATAAAAATAAATGTTTAAAAAATTCACCAGTCCTAGGTACTTAAAGATGGAACCCATGAACTTTCATAATGTAGGCGACTGCTGTAACCACTAAGCTACCCAGAATTCAACAGAACTGATGAATTTTTCAAGTACTTTTCACTACTAGTATAGTAAGAGTATATCAATGTTCAGGCAATCCACCCAAAAAGAAAAAGAAATTCTAAATATATATCACTCAAAGGTGACTGACTGACATAGTGATCTATCAACGCACAGCCTAAACCACTGGACAAATCGGGCTGAAATTTGGCATGCAGGTAGATGTTATGTCGTAGGCATCTGCTAAGAAAGGATTTTGATCTATTCTAAAGTTTGTATGAAACTTTGTCAATTTTCAACCAATCGGGTTGAAACTTTGCATGCATAAAGCTACTATGACGTAGGCATCCCCTAAGAAACGGTTTTGATAAATTTCACCCCTAAGGGGGTAAAATAGGTGATGAAAGTTTGTATAAATCGTCTTAGATTTTCGACTGATTAAACTAAAATTAAAGATCGGAGCTTTAATTTTAGTTTAATCAGTCGAACTATGTTACTACTATGTCAGTACTATGATGAAGACGTCTGCTTAAATAGTATTTTGATAAATTCCACATATCGGGATAAAATAAGGGATGATGGAGGATGTAAATGTTTTAGATATAATGAATAAATATTCATTAGAAATGCTGCTGAAAGTAACTTTACCATGTGAATGAAGTCGTATTGCCTGCGACTTCTTTCCACTAGTATTTTTAATTTAAAAAATTTGATTTATTCTGCATTCACAACTTAAGGTATTTGTAAAAATATTTCTTTCATCTGTTTGGGTGGATTCTATGTCGTGTAGGTAAGAAATACTTCCAACTTAACATATTAGGCACCAAAACCTAATAATTTGGCCGAATATGAATAGTGAAAAAGATGCTGAATACTGAATATCAAAAAATAAATATTAGGCGCATCTCTAATTTAAATGATAGTCAATCTAAGTAACAGGTCATTATTGTAAAACTATATGTTTTTCTCTTGAGAATCAATGTAGTTGTATTATAAAAGATAATTAAAACATTAAATTAAATCTGTCAAAATAATAAATGTAGATATTAACAGAGATAATGTAGTTTCCATAAATGAGTTTTAAATTGTTTGGCAATTTTGATGTCAAACATTTCAGAAATGTTATATATCAGTGAATATTTTGCACTGATTCGTCTGTCATGCATCATCCATAACATTTCATTCATTGGCTGCTCATGCTTACAAATTCAAATCCTATCCAATGCCCCCTATGCCTTATCATATACAAAACAAGGTTAATTTAGTAATAAATGTATGTATTATCATATTTTTGATTATTTCATTTCAATAATTTCAGGATGCTGTTCAAGCCAAGAAAGCTGAAGAAGAGCGACTCATGAAGGAAGCCCACGCTGCCAAACAAAAAGCAGAAGAAGCAGAACGTGCCCGTATAGAAGCAGCCCGTGCGGAACGTGAGCTTATGAAGAAAAACCTACGTAAGGAAAGAAAAGCATTTCGTGATCTATGCAAATCAAATAATTACTTTGCCAAGAATGAAGATGAAACTGTGTCTCATATGGCAGCAGTTGAGAAAATATGTGAAATGATGAAAGTGGTTGAATTGCAAGATTTTATGAAAAAGTTGGAAGGGGAGGGCCGAAATGCTTTCTTGAAGACAGTCAAAGAAACTGATGAAAAATTAGAAGCTGAAAGAAAAGCACTATTTGATACTAAAAAGGTAGAAGATCAAAAAGTTAAAAAGGAGAGTGCTTTGAAAGTTCCAATCGAATGGACTCCAGATATGACCCAGCTACTTATAAAAGCTGTTAATCTATTCCCTGCAGGAACTAATCAAAGATGGGAAGTAGTAGCTAATTTTCTGAATCAGCACAGTACATTTACTGATGAGAAACGTTTCACTGCTAAAGATGTATTAAATAAAGCCAAGGATTTGCAGAGCTCAGATTTCTCTAAAAGCAGTCTAAAGAAAGCAGCCAATGAAGAAGCCTTTGATCAGTTTGAAAAGGAAAAAAAGAAAGTGGCTAATCATGTTGATGATAATAGTATATCAAAGATTGATAGTGGAGCGAAATTGGTAAATGGTACTTCTAAGCCTAAAGCAGAGGACCAATCCAAACAAGACAGGGAACCGTCCAAAGAGGACAGATCTTGGACAAAAACAGAACAAGAGTTGCTGGAACAAGCAATTAAAACTTTCCCTGTGAGTACCCCAGAGAGGTGGGATAAGATAGCCGATTGCATACCTAACCGTACCAAAAAAGACTGCATGAAGAGATACAAGGAATTAGTAGAATTAGTAAAAGCTAAAAAACAAGCTGCTAATCTTTCTAAATAACAATAAATGCCCATTAGCTACATATATTAAAATAAAGCATATTTTTATGAAATGTCACTGGACTTTCACAGTTGTGTTTTCATACTACTTTTACAGATCAATGCACCATAAATTTCATATATGACATTAATCAAGGTATTCAAGATTTGTTTGCAACTTTGCAGACAATGAAAATTAAGCTATCTTAACAAATTTAATTTTCAAGATAGCAGTCGATGTTGGTCACTTCTACAAAATCACTTTAAAGGTTTGCAGTAATTAGCTTCCATAATGACATTATTTTTGTATTTATTTTTTGGTTATTGTGATGCACATAGTCAATTTAAAATTTATTGCAGTTTACTTTTACTTTATTCCACATACAATATTATAGTTTATACTTCAATATTATTGGTAAAACAAGAGAATGATACTTTTATGATAAATCTAGGGGCCGAAACAAGTCCAGCATCTTTGCGCGTATTGAAAGTGTTTTAAAATTTTAAATTCCCATGTTTTTCAGTCTTATTTCACTATGTGATAGTGATTTTGAGAGCTGCTTTACGTATATTCGAGTCATAAATTTACTATTTCTTTTTAAATCTTTATACAGGGAGCACCAAAACGACCGACACAGCTGAGAGTTTCAAGTTAGGTAGCATGCACATGTTCATTTTATTTAACAAATATTTAAAAATAGATAAGACGAAAAACTGGTGTTAAAAAAAATAAAATCTAAGTGTTGACAGCCCTTTAACGCACACACGCTCACGCGTTAGCGTACACAGAGTTATACTATGCCTACACGTAATGTCGATGTGTGCAGATTACAACCGGCCATTTAATAAGAATTAAGTTTAATGATAATTACATATTAGTATTAATATGCATGCTGATAGAGCGATAGAGCGGAGCATGCTCTTTTGTATGTCGGAGCACATTACTTTCGTTATTTTGCCGGCGGAGCTCTTCAAATGCTCCCATTGTAACAACGCGAGGGTTTGTAGGGTGTGGAGGAGAAAAACGTTCACGGTACAAACGTAAGGCTGCCCTTGCGTTATAGCCACACTACGTATAATAAAATTAGGTTCAAGTAATCGCTTGTTTCTAAAGACATTTTCAACTTAATTAAATTAAACTAACTAGTCTTCACTAAACTAAACACACACGCACACACACACTAGGTACTAGTTAACTTAAAACTGAATAAACTAAAACTACAAATGAATAATTGACGGAAAAGTTGCTTCGCAGCGGTACGGTGGCAGCGATGCAGTTACGTGTTTCACGCGCAAACGTCCGGCTGTAACTAAGTAGAAAATCGCGACAAAGGCGCCGACGCCGACAGAACAACAAAAGCCGCCAGGCGAGGCGCGCACGGCGAGTAGGTGGAGTCCGGTTCGCTTTGCCTTTGATAACCAGGGACGAATTCGATTTATCTTTTTTTTTCGAATTAGTATTTTGTTTCCACGCAATTGTTTTTGAATTTTCTTTTTAAATACATTTTAAATAAGTAACTAAACCCTCAATTAGTGTTTTAACGTAAAGAACATTTGTGATAATGGATGATGTCTATTTGAAATAAGGTAGTTACGTAATCTAAATTAGTTAACATTAGAATAATCTTTTACAATGATTTATTAAATGTTAGTCTATTAATTAATTTCAGCATTTTGAATAATTCGTTTAGTGATTGTCAGTTAGAAATTGTTAAAAAACAGTTAACTAACAAACTAACATCCAATAGTTTTCGTTTCTGATTTTAGTTTTTTGATGATCAGTTGATAGCAGTTTGAAAAAACTAGGAATATTTGACTTGTGAAAGAAACTTATGTTATTGAGAAAAAGCAGAAGAGATTTTCTACTTTATTTCAAATTAGAAACAGGCTGTAAATAACTCTGTAAATCGATTTAAGCATTTTGACTGCCTTGTTTATTGATTGTCTGGTAGATTTTGCATGAAAGCGGTCTTATAAATCACAAACTAGTTTATTTCTTTTTTAGAAATGAAGAAATCAATGACCGATTTAAAACTTTTCCTTAGTACGTCCCAAAAACAGCTGACGCAGGGTTGAAAACACTATTTTTTTTTTTACATCATATTAAAGATAAATAGTACTCTCCGTGAACCTCGGGAGTGTCGGTCGTTCTGTTCCACCGAGTATAGTGTAGTATAATTTATCTTATTAATGTGGAAGAACAACTAAAATATCCGTGATGAAAGGAAAATTCAATTCTGTTATTTTTTTTTACAAAGCTTTATTTTCATATTTATGTTGATTTTGAATCAGTTTTACAGAATACGCTTTTCATCAGATATCACCAAAATATTTAGATAATATGTTTATTTCAACTAAAAATAAAGACAAGATTTCGTATTTCGCATTCGTTCAAAATCCGAAACGAGTATGTATATTTTACTCCTTGATGTATGTTTTTTTTATGAAAATAGCTATGTTCATCGATTTTTTTCTTGAACCTGTGAACGAATTTCTATCAATCTAGCTGCTTCGCGTCGACTTCGCCTACGTTGCTCCGTGTATTGTGTAGCTTTCCGTAGACTTTTATAAATCGGTCCAATTGTTTCGGAGCATCTCAACTGCAAACAAGCAATCAAATCGTTCCTCTTTATAATATGAATGTAGATTATAGGAAAAAAATATTTCGAGCAAATAAACAAAATATCTGTCGTGATTGTTCCTGTTCTTGAGCAGAATAACACGTAGCTAACCGTTGCTGTGCTGTATAATAAAACTTCTTTCATAGTGGTTACTTCTCTTTATTTTCTTTGCTCGAGGTCGAGAGAGCTTACAAAATTATGAATATGGCTCATAGGGTATAATGAATAGGAACCAGAAAAATTGGACGTAGTTAATCAAAAAGGATCTATCCCATACAATGTCAGTTTTGAGATATAGACGATTGAAGTTTAAGCTGTATTTGCAAATTGATGTAACATTTTTGTGTATTATATTTTTATCTAATATCATAGAAAACCATTTACATTATCTCATTATAATGTCATTTTAACAGAATTAACAATATTTATTTAAATATAAAGGTTAAAGTATGTTTGGATCCTTTTTGATATATTAAGGTTTTAATGAGGAAGTATTTAAAAAAACGAAAGCACTAAAAAAGCACCTCCACTAGATGGTGACTCTAGCAAAAGTTGATTTTTGCAGAAAACGAATGGACCAAAGAAAGTCATTTTCGTTCCTTTTATCTAACTTATTAAAAACTGAAATTTGAAAAGTTCGAAACTTAGATATCAATACGAAAAAGAACAAATTTTGTAGTAATCTATCTTTTTGATAAAGTAAAAACAAGGTTATATTATATATAAGCTGAGTGTAGAGAAAGAAAAAAATGCCGGGAAAAAAGGGTGCTACTTTTTCATAAGCTTCGTAGAACTACAGTTTTTATTGCTTAGTGTTTACATTAGCGGTAGCACGAACAAAAGAATGACGTTAAGTGTCAAAAGGAGCGGTGTCACGTTACCGCTGACAGTATGTTGTTAGGGTGCCCATTTATGAATAACGTAAAGGAAGGGTTAAATACTTCTTCATTACCTTATTCTTACAAAACAAATCTCAAAAACAATCCAATAGAATAATTAAAATAATTAATAATAGAAAAATTAACTGAAACTCCAAAATTTAATCGTAAAAACTATTTATTAAAGTTTCTTTATATTTATTGTTTTAATTTTTAATGTCAAATGTATTCTCACTATCTAAAATTACCTTCCTACATCTTTTAATAAAATTACCTTTTAACAAAAATGATTCAAGCGTTTTGAACTTTTATTGTGATTTTTAACCAAGATTAGTGCCTTTAATTTGTTTTTTTAGTATAATGGATCCAAGAAGCTTGAGTAGTTTTCATAGAACTAAAATATGAACCAACCAAAGATGTGGGATGGTAACTACCATTGAAAAAAAACGTCAAATATTTAATACAGAGCTTTTCCCTATATGAAAGTATAGATCCTGATGGACATTTTGGTATACTTAAATAATTTTTGACCAATTTGTGGGTTTGATCCGTTTTGAGTAACTACGTCCAATTATCACTAAGTCTGAAACATCAGATATCACCTAACATGATCCAGCACATGATCTAGATATTTAGTTTTTTTTATCGAAGTAAATCTGTACGCTGATAACCATTGTTTTGTTATATTTGGTCATAGATTTCATGTGCCGAGCTAGTTTAAAAAATAACAGAAGTTAATAAAATCTAAATATGCTTTAGCACCACCAATCCGCACTGGCACGGTTATGTGGGCCCAGTGCGGAATTCTGGATGCATTTAAATCATCGATTAATAATATTTGCTTTAACACTACCAATCCTAATTGGTGCGCTGAATGCAACGAGGAATGCTTGTTGGAATAATTTCATCTATTAAGAATATCTGTGCATTAGCACCACCACACGTGAGTCCAGTCAGAAATGCTGGGTGGATTGACTTGATGCTGAAGTAGTTAACAAGTTTTATTTGCGATTGTAGAGGATAAGTGACGTTTGCAAAGGTCAGTAATCGGATGGGTGACGAAATTTTTTTACACGTTACTAAGCAAGGATGCGTTAAAAAGAGAGTTAATACTCGCCATGCCCCGCTCCGCCCCACCACCACCCCTTCAGGTAAGCTAAATAAAAAAGATTGATCGTTCATCCCATTATTGGCTTTTGCGAACGTCGCTTAATCTTCGCAATCGCAGATCATGCGCTAGAGCGTTTGATAGTTAGTACTAATGGTACACATAGAAGAAGAGAGAACAGAAGAGAGCAAACCCGGCCACTTCCGGCAGTGCCTGTCCCACCTCATTCAGTCAAATAAAAGAAGTTGATCACTCGTCCCATTACTGGCTTTTAGGAACGTCGTTTGATCTTTGTAAATGCCTGTTTCACTCCACCCAGCTCAGCAAAATAAATAAAAAATCACCCATCCGACTACCGGCCCTTGCAAAAGTCGCTTAGTCTCAACAATCGCAGATCAAACGTGCAAACTAATTTTACATATGACCGCGAAACCATAAACCGACACACTTCATAATTAAAAATAGTTAAATTAAAAATTTAAAAGACCCCCGACACAATATAATAAAAAAAAAGTAAAAAGCTTAAAAACTTCTATTGCATTTTTATCAACCTTGCGTTAATAATATATAATTATTTTTCTTAGAAAATCCACCTTTTACTCAATAATTATAAAAGTAATAAAACTGGCCATCAGAGCAGCGTATGCAAAAAATGAATCATCGAGAATTTTCATTATTTAACAATACACGAAAACTCATAAATTAACAACGGCCGGTCTAGTCCGCGCTGGCAACGTGGAGAAAGA